AACAGTGCATGTCTTTGAGCCATGGGGACCAGACATGATATCTGGGTTCTAACTGTGCTCTTTACCCTCTGGTTTCTAAAGGGAGACTTTTTCTAGTATTATGCAAAGCAAAGCAGAAGCAAGTTTTATTAAGAAATACAAAGAACTGAGAAATTAAGAGAAAGTGCGACATTAAAGGGAAGTGAGAGAAACTCACAGGAGTGGGAAGGGTTTCCAAGAGTGAAGTCCTTTAATTTTTTAAATTACATTTAGTTATTTATTTATATTTTGTCTGTGCACACAGGGTGCCACGGTGCTTGTGTGGGGTTCAGAAACAACTTACAGAAGTCACTTCCCTCTTTCTACTTTGCAGGCACCAGGGACTGAACCCAGGTCCTCAGGTTTGGCAACAAGTGCCTTAATCAGCTGAGCCATCTCATTGGCCCAAATTAAACACTTTTCACTTCTTAGGTTGACAGTGACTTTGAAACATGCATTGTAGCAGAACATGGTGGCACAAGCCTTTAATCCCAGCACTTGGGAGGCAGAAGTAGGTGAATCTCTGTGAGATTGAGGCCAGCGTGGTCTACATAGAATGTTCCAGGCCAGCTAGGGCTACAAATAATGAAAATAAATAAATAAATAAAAATTTGTCCAATGTTTATAAAGATTTTGTAATGTAATCAAACACTTTTAGAAATGGAGATTTGAAATATATAACTAATAATGTTCAAACTGTATTTTATTTCTGGAAATTTATTCTGCATGTGTTTACCACAAGTACAAAGAAATATGAGTATAGGCATCTCCATTTTAGCAGTAATTATAACTGCAAAAAAAGGGGGAGGACATGAATAAATTACTTTATTTCATGATAAAGTAATAGATAAGTAAAATGGAATACTAGGCAGGTGTGGTGAAGCATGCCTTTAGTCCCAGTACTCAGGAAGCAGAGGCAGGAGAATCTCTGTAAGATTGAGGCCAGCCTGGTCTACATAATGAGTTCCAGGCCTGCTGTGACTACAAGGAGACCCTGTCTCAAAAAGACCAAATAAATGAATGAACGAATGAACAAACGAATGAATGAATGAATGAATACTATACACCTGTTAAAAGGTTGAGATAAATTTGTCAAAGAAAATCTAACAACAACACAGCAGTCATAACTATTCTTGTGAGCATTGATGTGAGCATGTGGGCATGCATGGATATGCATGGGAAATGCTTGGAGGAAGCTAGTTGTCACTTCAGCAGAAGACAGCTACAGGAGAGGAGGCTGACATGTAAAACTTCTCATAGTGGACATATTTACCTTTATGGAAAACAAAGTTAAGTCTTTTGTTCATTTCTAAAGTATAGTTTTCTGTGTTGCAGATTTTTTCCATTCCTTGCTGGCAGTTCATCGGCTGGATCAGCCACATGGTGGCCTTACTGGACAAAGAGGAAGCCATTGCCGTGCAGCATACCGTGGAAGAGATTGCTGACAACTACCCACAGGCCATGGTCTACCCTTTCATAATGAGCAGTGAGAGCTACTCCTTTAAAGACACTGCTGCTGGGCAGAAGAACAAGGCATTTGTGGAAAGGTATAAAAAATGTGTGGTAAAGCAAACTCAGGCAAACAAACAGCTTTGAGCTGTGCCTGTAACATAGAAATTCTTCGTCATCTTGACTATATCTTTTCTCCATATGGTAGTTGTAGAATTATTCTCCTTTTGGAAAAATTTTGTCTTCAAGCGTTTGTTTTTATACTCATGGTTACCATTCTGTTGGGTGCGGCAGACTAAATGAGATGCTCTTTTGTAATTAGTTCCTAAAATCAGCCTTTAAAATACACTAGAGGGTTTTTGTCTGCCTGAGTTTGTGTGGGACTTGTGTATGAAATACACAAAAATTCAATAAAAAAAAATTTGTTTTAAATACACTAGAGGAACTGGAGAGATGACTCAGCAGTTAAGAGCACTGACTGCTCTTGCAGAGGACCCGGGTTCATTTCTCAGCACCCACATGGCAGCTGACAGTCACCTGTAACTCCAGTTCCAGGAGATTCAGTGCCCTCTTCTGACCTCCACGGACATTACACAACACAGGTACACTTAACATACATGCATGCAATACACTCATACACATAAAATAAATAATAATAATAATAAATAAATTTTAAAATATACTGGAAAGGTCCAGGCGTGGTGGCATACACCTTTAATCCCGGTACTTGGGAGGCAGAGGCAGGCAGAGCTCTGTGAGTTCGAGGCTAGCCTGGTTTACATAGCGAGTTCCAGGCCAGCTGGGGCTACAGGGAGACCCTGTCTCAAAAAGACCAAAACAAAAAAAACAAAACAAAAAAAACCACTGGAAAGAGCCAGGCATGGTGGTACATGCCTTAATTCCAGCCCATAGGAGGCATAGGTAGGCAGATCTCTGTGAGATCAAGACCAGCCTGGTCTGCACAGTGAGTTCTAGGCCAACTGTGCCTACAAGGAAACCCTGTTTCAAACAGAGAAAAAATACACTGAAAGGCTGCACACATTCTTCATCAAGAACTGCCTTTGTACATCAGCATCAGTATATCCCAATTCCATAAAACAAACACTACTGAATATCAACAGGCACTGATTGGCCTCAACAAAAGAATAGTGATTTCAGTACCTCACTCCACCAATAGGTTGTCTGGAGGAAAGTCAGTACAGAGACATCAGTGTTAAATACCATGGTAGATCAAATGGGTAGACTGCTGCACTCAATCACTGCAGAATGTGCATTCTTCTCAGCAATCCATGGGACCATCTCCAAAATAGACAATATTTTAGGAACAAGGATGTCTTAATAAATATTTAACTAATTGAAATAATTTCTTCTATCTGATGACAATGGACTCAAACTAGAAATAAAGAAACTACAGAAAATACACAAACTCAGACACCAAAGAGAGCTCTACTGAACAATGAATGAGTCATTGAAGAAATGAGGGAAACTTATTTTTGGTCTTTTCGAGACAGGGTCTATGTGTAGCCCCAGCTGTCCTGGAACTTACTGCGTAGACCAGGGTGGCCTCGAACTCACAGAGATGCACCTGCCTCTGCCTCCCAAGTGCTGGGATTAAAGGTGTGTGCCGCCACTCCCGGTGGCGGAGGGAAATTTTTAAAATCCTAGAATACAAAAAAAAAAAAAAATACAAACATATCCGAACCTGTAGAAAACAAAGTAATTCTTCATTTTTAAGTTTAAAGCTATAAGTTACCTATCTGGGTATATATCTGAGTCCTCTGTCCTAGTCCATTGATATGCCTGTCTGTTCCTGCTTCATACTGTTTTATTATGAAGGCTCTGTAGTTATGGCTCCAGCTTTCTTTTTGTGCAGGATTACTTTGGCTTTCTAAAAGTTCTGTAAAGATGAAATAGAAATTGACAATAAATAAACATGAAAAATCCTTAGCAACTTCACCCCAAAACATGACTATCATTAAGAAAAGCAATAATAGGGGCCTGGAGAGATGGCTCAGCCCTTAAGAGCACTGGCTGCTCTTGCAGAAGACCCAGGTCCAAGTCTCAGCACCTACATGGTGGCTAACAACCATCTATAACTCCAATTCCAGGAGATCTGACACCTTCTGACCTCCGTGGATGCACTTACACACATTTAGGCAATACACTCATACACATAAAAATAAAATAATAAAGGTTTTTTGTAAAAAGCAACAATAAATGCGAGCAAGGACATGGAGACTTTAAAATGCATTGCTGGTAAGAGTATAAACTGGTACAGCTGATATGGAAAACAAAATGGAGTTTCTCCAAAAGCTAAAAGTAGCCATACCACCTTGGCCAATCCACCATAACATCTCTGAACAGAGACTAATGCTATAAGATGGTTTTTAAAAAAACTCATGAGGGGTTGGAGAGATGGCTCAGTGGTTAAGAACACTGACTGTTCTTGCAGAAGACCCGGGTTTGAATCCCAGCACCCACATGATAGCTAACAGCTGTCCATAACTCCAGTTCTAGGGGATCCGATATCTTCTTCTGTCTTCCGCAGGCATTGCATGATATGGGTGCACTTACCTACATGCAGGCAATATACACATACACGTAAAATTAAATGAATAAATAAAATACTTTTAAAAAACTCATGAAAAACATTTGAAAGAAAATGAGTTGAGAAAGTAACCTGCCATACTTCATGTTTAAAGCAAATTATATTCAT